ACCTTTCAAAAGTTTGGGGTTGTTGGGTTTTTTTTGTTTTGTTTTGTTTTTGAAAAAAGTCTCTTCTGCTCACCAAGACAAAAGTACTTATTTGAACAAAAGTACTGTAAAATCTGTAAAATTGCAAAATGTTATTACTATGTAAAACAGCTGTGTTCTATGTGAATATACTCTAAACTGTAATGTATTTCTGAGATCAAAGCTGTATTTTCAGCATCATTATCCAGTCTTCAGTGTCACATGATCTTCAGAAATCAGTATAATATGCTGCTTTATTACAGTTTTGCTGCTTAATATTTTAATTTAATAGATGTCTTTTCTAACAATGTAAGTCTTTATTATCACTTTTTATCAATTTAACACATGCTCGCTGAATAAAAGCATTCATTACTTTCAACAAAAAAAACTTATATTGTATATATATTGTATATGAGGTGTATATTGTTAGAAAATATTTCTATTTCAAATAAATGCTGTTCTTTTTAACTTTTTATTCATCAAAGAATCCTGAAAAATGATCACAGGTTCAAAAAAAAAAAATTTGATAATAAATCAGCATAATAACAGCATATATATATATATATATGTGTGTGTGTGTGTGTAATAAAAACATTTAATTTACAATAAAATGTCATTTTAAAATAACTAAATGATCTAAATATAATTTATAAAAAAATGGCAAAAAAGTAATTTAGTAATTAATGCAATAAAATAAATACAACGTAAAAATACAAAAAAAAATTTTTTTTTTTAAATACTTATAATATTTAAAGATTAATTGTCAGTGTATTGTGTTGGCACGGTTTTTAAGAATGACTAAATTAATTTTTTTAATAGTTTTAATAGTTTTTATAGATTTAAATGTAGATCATATTTTTTTTGCAAATTGATTAATTAAAATATTTGTTATTATGCTATATTTATTTTTAATTATTTCTTGGTTTGCACGAAGCTAAACTAACATGATGAAACATTATTATTCACAGTAAGACCAGGAACATTAATACAGGAATCTGTCAAATCGTGTGAGTGTTTGAATCTGTTTCTCACACACTTTCTGCAGTGGAGGACTTCCAGAAGTTACAGGAGGCTAAAGAGGTTCTCACAGATGAGAAGAAAAGAAAGAATTACGATCTGTGGCTCCGAAGTCAAATTGTAATCCCGTTCAGCGAGTGGCGAGCGCTCAGTGACTCCGTTAAAACAGTGAGTGTTAGCTAGCTGATATATTCATTACATTTATAACAATTTATAATAAATGCATTACTTTTCAGTCAATGCATTGGGCTGCGAGGACCAAGAAAGAGCCGATGCTTGAGGCTGCAAAAGATCCAGATCCAGTGACTCTGGAGGAGAACCCGTCTGAACCGTCACTGCCGTCCAGTAAGACATCGAGTTTTATGACTATTTACAATTCTTCAGTTATAGATGAGTGACTGTAATGTTTCACAGGTGATCATTGGCACCACAGGTTTCGCTGGGCTGGTGAAGCTCCCTCGGGCCTTTTACAGAAGTTCAGGAATTATGAAATATAAATGCATATTTCCTGTTGCTCTGCATGCTTTTGTGTGTAAGTGCATTTATTCCATTTATAGAGTAAAGCATCAGAACTGAGCAATCATTTACTATGCTTCACCATTTCTGGCATAACATTGACTTTATCTGTCTGTTTGTTTTGTAGGATGTTGATATTAATATTCAGCAGTGACGCTTCGTATGCCTTAAATGTCCAATCAGAATTGTTTTCCTGAAATATGAGTAAACCGTGTTTTCAAGCCTGCAGATTTGCACAAGCAACGATTATAACGTTTATTTTAATTCATAATTTATTGAACGAATATATCACTAATTAAATAATATATATTAGTAGAAAATTGCATTCGATTAGAAGCCAGGAGTGTCTTAAAAATATCACTTTTTTTATTCATAAGTTTATTTTTAGAGAAAAAAAATTGTAAAAGTGTTTATGATATGAGTTCGTTGTGCAATCAGTATTTCGAGGCATATATATATATGTTATAATGTTTCTATAGTCTGTGTGTGTTGTGCTTAATTGTCAGCCAATGTTGCATAAATAAAACAATGTATTGTGGAATAAGACAAAAATGTATTAGTCATTATTTATCTTCCTCAACCGTGCGTTCATTCATTGGTCAAAGTCCAGCGGATCCTCGCTGTGATTGGTCAGTCCCATGTGTCAATCATTCTATTGGCTTTCACTGACTCTAGTGCACACTGTAGTGACCGTCAGTGGGGCACGCACAGAAGACCTAGAGTCTACAGTCAAGATGGCAAGTGCAGTCCTTCTGAGAGCCTGTCGGCTGACTCTGATGGGAAGACAGAATATTTTAATGAAAACAGCTCAGCGTGCGATGGCAGGTAAAGGTGAGAGACATTCAGGAATCTCTATAGACAACCTACTGATATTATTAATGCACGTATAAAAATAAAGCAATATGCTGTCCTGGTCTATGTTGTTGAATGAGTGACATGCTCTCTTATGCATACATGCTGTCACACAACAGAAACACAGGTAACCGCTCATTAATATCTGAAGAACACATGAAAGTAGGGGTTAAATAAGCTACACGTGACTTAGAACGTGGAGGCTCGTATGATATATACGCAGTGAGTTAAATCAAGGTCATGTGTTCTCTCTGCTGTGGAGGCCGAGCTCTGGCCTTTCTTGGCACTAAACTCATGTTGGTGTGCCAGTGACTCTGGAGCAGGGCGCCGCTTTATTCACCCGCTGGTGGGCGACACCTAGTAGACATATTCTGTCATCGCAATCTCAAGACCAAAACATTATTATTTTGTTTTTTTTGGAGTGTAAACATAAAAATATTTTTGGGAGTAACATGCTAGTGACACTAAATTAGTAACATTATTGCAGTATATACTGCTTATATAACTAATGTATAATTAGTGAATGTACATACAAGTAGGAGTAATGATTTAGACATTCAGCAGACGCTTTAAGCGACTTACAAATGAGGACGGTGGAAGCAATCAAAATCAACACAAGAGCAATGATGTGCAAGTGCTATAACAAGCCTCAGTTAGCTTAATGCAGCACACGGAGCAAGTTTTAAAAAAAACATAATAAATAAAAAGAAAACAAAAAGAAAAAAAAAAGATTAGAGAAGCTAGTTTTAGTTTTTTTTTTTTAAAGAAAACAAGCAGTTAGTAAATAAATAAGTGCAAGTCTAAACGGGGCAATTTTTTTATAAAGAATAGAATTAGAATAGAGTGCTAGAGTTAGAGGGTCGAATAAAGATGGAAGAGATTAATTTAGAATTTTGTATTCATACACACCAGGGTTATTGTAAATAACTTAACTCAAGCCATTGTTACTTGAAATAAAATGCTGAAAAACTTTTACAGCTTTTCAAAAACTGTTCATTTTCGTTTAGTTGAACTTTTAACGTAATGAAATAATTAAAATAAGAAGTATACCATACATATTTAAAGTAAAAAAAAAAGAAGTACAAAGTACAAAAATACACAACAAAGCGGCTAAAACTTTAAAATGAAAATAAACATCAAAATGTCAAAAAAATATCAAATATCACTAAAGTTTATGTTGCACAATTCAGTTTTTTCCCCACCAAAGAACAAATATTATAAAATAACACTGATATACGCTGTAAAAATTAGTTTTTGAAAAAATTATAAAACAAAGATTGAGTACTTTTTACATACTTTTCTTAAAAATTCTGCTTTTTCTTTGTAATTCATTGTGAAATTTACTTAAAATTTCTGAGTGAAAATTGTTTCTGCATCATTATTTTTCAGCGACCCTGAGCTCTTATCGGCTCGCTGGCTCACATACGCCTCTCATTAAACGATCAGCTCACATCAAGTGCAGGTTAATCAGCTGAACATTTTAAAAAGGGCTAACATTTTTAAAAATTACTTTTAAATTATTATAAATTGTAATAAATATTTATAATATAATAATTTCATTCATTATTATTATTATTATTATTATTATTATTATTATTATTTATAATAAATATTATCTTATATTATTTAATATAATAAGAATAAGAATGTAATATTATTCCTTATTATAAATTATAATTATTTTTTATAAAAAATATTTTTCAATTATATAATATAGCTTTTGTTAATATGTCAGTTTCTTTTATATTTTAAGTTTTTACTTTAGTTTAAGTTGCAGTAATTTTAATACTTTAACCTAATCATATTTTATTCCAGTTAGTTTCATCTAATATTTATAGTCATATTTTATTTCAAGTAATGAAATTATTTTTAGTTGTTTTAGATGACAGCAAAAACATTGACACTTCAACTTTATTCATTTGCAATTATTATTTACACAGTGACAACAGGTTGTTCAAAAAAAGCTAAAGTTTAGTCATCGAGTAAAAGTTTAGTTTAAGTTTTAGTAATTTTCTTATGTGCTTTTGTCATTTTTATTAGTTTTTTCTTTTCTATTTAGCATTATTTTTATTGCCATTTTAGTTTTAGTAATTTTAATACGTCAACCTAAACTTATTTCATTTCAGTTAGTTTTCAAGGCATTGTCATTTTTATTAGTTTTTTCTTTTCTATTTAGCATTATTTTTATTGCCGTTTTAGTAATTTTAATACGTCAACCTAAACTTATTTCATTTCAGTTAGTTTTCAAGGCATTATTTCTCATTTTTAAAGCTTTTTAAATTTAATAATTTAATTTTTTTTAACGTTTCTTTAATCAAATTTTTTATATTCTTTCAGCTCTATTTTAATTAATGATAACGGTTCTTAATAGTTTCAGTTCACAACGACAACACTGGCTGAACCGCTTCAACTTTATTTATTATAACATGATTATTTACACAGTTTAATTTTTTTATTTATTATTTTATATTTTTTTTACAAAACACTAATGGGATGGAGACTGATATTGAGGGCACAGGGAAACCTATAAATTAATCAGTATTCCCAAGAAAGCATGCTTTTAGTCTGAAAACATTTTGATTAGATGTAAAAAATGATGAAATATTTCTTATTAAACTGCCAGTTTTTCGTTGTCAGAGTTAGTGCAGCACCCGGAGACTTGAACATCCACTCCAAACTAATTATTTATAATTCAGTTTAATATTTCATCCTTACTAAGATCCCGAGAAAGCAAGAAATTAAAAAAGATGAAATGAGCTAGAAAACACTCAAATTAATGAATTAAACAAAGAGGAACACGTCGAACAGAAGGTTGAATGTTTGATTCATTAACGTTTGATCTTTAATTGTAGCATTAAACCTGTTTAATATGAGACGAACAGAGAAACACAGCAGAGCTCTGAATTCAGCATTAATTGATTCATAATTGCTGTCAAGAGGGTTTAACTCATTTCTGATCTCTAATGCAAGTAATCCGCATGAATAAGATGTCGTTTATGTGGAGATTTAACCAGTCATGAAACCCATACAGCAAAAAATATGTATTTTTATATTTATGGGAATATATTTTCTACCTATATATATATATATTTTACTTTTTTTTTTTTTGCATATTTAAAAAAACACAAATAAATAAAAGTTTTATTATATTACAATTGTTGTAGGTGGGGTCTTAATTATTGGCGCACCTTAGGCTTCTCCTTTAAGCATTCGCACTCAGTCTCACTGTGAATGCAGACGGGAAGCACGGGTATCTTTCGCTCTCTCATATGTGTATATATATATATATATATATATATATATGTCCCTGAAATACATTCCGAAACATATTTTGGTATATGAAGATTTAAAAAATATATTACATTGATCTTCACTGTTAACTACATATATTTAGAATAGATCACCCACAGTGTTTTCCCCTCTGTTCCCCTCTGCTGTCATCCAGCATCTCTTCTCCAGTTCAGCCCAATTCATTACAGCAGCTAAAAACACTCGACTCCACAAAATATCAGAATTAATATGCTAAAGATGTTGTTGGTACTGCGTCTCTGATGGAGTCCCGGGGCCCGGCTCACGGGGACGCCTCCATCCACACTGACTTTGAAGTGGTAATCCAGGACCTGAGGGAGAACCTCAAATTGAAATGTCTTTGACATGCCTGACGGATTTAGAGGTTTGTGCTGTACCTGCAGGCCGAGAGACACACGGAGAGAGAGAGAGAGCGAGAGAGAGAGACAGAGAGAGAGAGAGAGAGAGAGAGAGACAGAGAGATTTCCAAACATTGTTTAATAAAGTACAAACAGACACAAACTGTAAGCAAAATCAAACAATCAACCAACTGGAAAAACTAGAATTAGCCATCAAAGATAACCAAAACCCATTAGATTTCCCAATAACTGATAAAGAACTTAAAGAAAAAATCAGAAACCTCCAACTCAAAAAAGCATCTGGACCTGATGGGATATTAAACGAAATGATAAAACACACAAGCAGTAAATTCCAATCGGCCATTCTAAAACTATTCAATGTGCTTCTGAGTGTAGGTTACTTCCCTGACATCTGGAATCAAGGCTTGATAACACCGATCTTTAAAAACGGAAATAAATTTGATCCTAACAACTACAGAGGCATCTGTGTGAGCAGCAACCTGGGAAAGTTATTCTGTAGCATAATAAAC